AAGGGGGGGGGGGGGGGGGCAACGCGTATCGGTTGTGGGCGCGCGCAAAGCGGAGCGTAGCGTAATGGTGGTGGTGGTGGTAATGATGATTCAAGAGGATGAGAGACGTGGCGCAAACAACCACCACTCACCACTCACCACTCACCACTCACACCGTATCGCGCACCACGTATCGCGCACCATCATGCACACGCTGCGCTGCGCCGACGACCGTTGATTCGTGACTGTGACTGTGACTCGTACGCGCGCGCGCCTGTCTGCTCTGCTCCAACTGACGACTCCACGCTGCGCGGCGCCTACATACATGAGCTACGTAAGTAGCTCGGCACGCGCGCGCCTCAACCGATTCGTTCGTGATGAGTGAGTGCATGAATACACGCCCGCGCGCGTCCTCCTAAATCTCATCAGAAAGCGAATATATTTTCGGGTATATAATAAAGCCGCGGCATGGCATATATGGCAGCCAGCATGCAGCTCATCAGACTGCGCATGTCATGAACTCTTGCGCATGCATGCGCCCCGCCCGGCCGCGGGAGCCGCGGAGGACACATGCAGCACGCGTCAAGCACAAACGTTGGCATGCGCGGGGGGCTGGCGCATCTATCTGTATGGAGAGCACGTGCGAAAGATCTAGAAGCACGTCATCTCCCTTCCTTTCTCCATTCACATTCCAGCGCGGGCTTTGCATGTACATACTGTGTACCCCTTCCACTACCTCGCATGCTGCTGCAATCTTGAATCTTGAATGTCACACAGTCGTGAGTGAGTCGGTCTCTACGTCATACAGAGAGAGCCAGCTTCAGCTTCTCAAAGACGCCCGCTCCGCATTCGGCGCAACGACAGTCTCGCCTCGCAGGGCCCTACGAAGCCATCCGCACCACAACGGGCTCGTCAAAATCGTAGACGTGCTTTTTTTTGCTGTGGTGCGCGTATGTTACATGTTGTTTTTCGTGGGTCGGTTCTAGGTTTCGCAAGACGTGCGTACTATGACTGGATGGATAGAGTGATGATTGTGAGGCTCAATCGAGCTGGATCATATGCAACGCAAAGCGAAGAAACAGATGGCTCCAGTCTAGAGGTGCGCTACAGCAGGCGGGATGTGTACGCCGGCAGATCGCGCCAAGACCAGCGAGCTGGCGGGGCATTTCAAGTTTTTTTTGCCTGCAACACAAGCACGTTGCACTCGATTCCAAAAGCCAAAGCAGCCTGAGCAGCGCTTCCCGCCACTTTACCAAGCCTAGCGAGCGTCTCGTGCCGTCGCTGTTGCGCCGCCTCTTCTGCTCTTCTCAAAAAACTCTGCCTCACCAGCTCGTCCACATCTTTTCTGAAAGAAGAGGGCCTTTGAGACACTTTGCCTCGTCCGATGATCAGCAGGTCCGATGACCCTCCTCCACACCCTCCCCCACCTCGACCTACAACACAAGTCTGCACGTAGGTCAGAACAGCAGCAATGGATGTGCCCGACGCAGATCCAGATCCGGATGCAGAACCAGCCGATTGCTTTTGCTGATCCACTTCCAAGAGTATAAACGTCAAGGTGCTCCCGTTGGCCATTCGCTGTGTTCTCACAAACGCGGGCGCAATCTCATCGCCGCGAGCCGCACCGCTGTGGGCACTACCTCCCACAGCCTTTGCGCGCGCAAAAGGTTCCTTCTCCTCTTCGGGCGTGATCTCCGGTGCTGCAGCTTTGCTCGGCTCGGCCGTGTCGCCTTGCGCCTCCATCTCGCCCACGCCCTGCTCGAACAAGAAGCGAATGTCCTTGCGTGCCGCATCCGGTTGAGCGACCGTCTTCAGATTGACAGTCTGATGCTGCGTCCTTTCCGCTTCCTCCTCTGACTCTCCGGACCTAGAAAGGAAGCCTTGGCCGCTTCGTAAACCTGCTCCTTCTTCCTCTTCTTCTTCTTCGTGAATGGACTCCTGCTGCCGTTGTCGCCTCACAAAGTCCCAGTCGGCTTGCTTGGAGGTGACGCTGCTCAATCCAGCAACGACGACGACATCAAGCACTGTAGAAGCTGCCATTTTCCTAGCCAGCTCCACCGCAGCTCGATCGTCTCTGCCGCCCCAAAACGCAACGACGACGCGTTTCCTCGTCTGGTCGTGCTCGAGTACTGCTAATGCGCCCTGAGCTTCAGCGCTTATCCAAGCTCTCGACAAAGGAGTCCGACCAGCCCGGGGCAGGCATTCCATCACGTGAGGCCCGATCAAGATGCCCGAGCTCTGCTTCACCTCTCTGAACAGGCGAGAAGGCATCCCGTCAGCTCCAGCGTCCAATCTCCAAAAGCTCCTTTCGCGATCTTCCTCCTCCTCCTCCTCATCCTCATCACAGTGCTGCTTCGTACTCCCAATGTGAGCAGCGGTGGCCAGGGCACTAAACCATCCGGATTTCGACTCCGAAGAAGAAAGGTTAGAAGGTCGATGGCTGTCGTGAGCATGCTCCGACAACGTTTGCTCCCACGGCAACAGAACCAGTCCATGTCCCAATTCTCCGCCCGACGGGCCAGGGCCAATGTTCGAGCCTCTAGAGGTCGCCAAGGACTGCTGCGCATGCCCATTGGCCTCGACGAGCGTGCTCAGCATGTCTTCCTCTGGCACAGTGTACACATCTCCCCTGCCGCCGTTGAAAGTGTTTGCCAACTTGAGCTTGGCCGATGCCAAGGTCCTCATGCGCAGCAAGGTGTCGCTGGAAGGCACGCCTTGCAGAGCAGTGCAGCATCGCACCGAAGCCAAGAAAGCGTCCGTCCTTCCTCCGTTCTGCACAGCAGTGCCAGCCGTCAAGGTCCTCAAAATGCTGGCAGTGGTGTACTCGAGCGGCAAGAGGCGAATCAGGTCGAGCGCTACCTTTCCTGAGCGGCTATGCGCTTGAGACGCTGACTCGACGCATTGGCCAAGGGTGGAGGCCAGTCCCAGCAAGCCATCCAGAGAAGGCGAAGTGGAGGTCAAAGCGGCCGAAATGACAAAGTCCTGCTCAGCATCGTCGGATGAGCTTTTTCGCTTCTTGGTATCATCCGTCTTTTGCACTTTTTCGCTTGCTCGAGGCTTGCCGAGGTCGGATGCATCGCCCAAAGTTTCCTTTGCATCTGTACCTCCTGCCCTGCTCCTCGGATCGCCATAGATGTATAGAGACAGAGGCCGGACGGTGACGGTAGTGGCGAGGCAAGCGAAAAAGATCATGGCGTAGACACGAGGGCTGATGACGCCAATCTGCAAGCCCACGGTGAGGATGACGAGCTCGATGATGCCCTTGCTCTGAGCCAAGCTAGCTACAAACATCGACTCTCGCCACGAAAAGCCCGCCACGCGAGTGAATGCAGACGTGGTGAGGAATTTGGACGCAAAGGTGGCCACGACCATCAGAAGCGTCAAGCCCCACGTCTTGCCGTCGTTGAGCAGCTTAAAGTTTACTTGACCTGCACTCGTCGCGAAATAGAGGGGAAGAAGCACGCCATTGGCGATCGCTTCCACGCTCTCCGTGACTCGCACCGCAAGCGCTTGATGCGGAATGGCAATGCCAAAGATGAGCGCGCCAAGGATGGGATGCAGGCCAGCGATCTGGGTGACAAAGGAGCTGATGAGAGATCCGACAATGACAAAGGTCAAGAGACCGTTGGGCACCTTGTTCTCTGGACCCGAGGTGGGTCCATCGAGGGAAAAGTGCGAATGTCGTATCCAGAAGAAGGTGAATGGGCGCACGACGAACCACAGGAAGACGGCGAGCGCTACGCCGATGAGCAGCTGATAGAGGGCGTCGATGCGCGAAGAGCCCGATCCCGATCCGCCAGCTGCGAGGGCCGAGCCCAGAGCGAGGAGGACGTAGCCTATGAGATCGTTGAGCGCACCAGCTGCTATGACGACGCTTCCCAGTGTAGTGCTGAGCAGTTTGAGCTCGGCCACGACTCGACTGAGAACGCTGAGAGATGTGACAGCCATGGTGGTGGCCAGGAAGAGCATAAAGGTGGTGAAAGTGGCAGATGTTCCGCCTTCCACGTCGTAGATGAGTTTGGATACGCCTGCTGCTATGCCAAAGGGGATGGCCATGCCGGGCAAAGCTATGAGAGCTACCTGTCTGGCATAGCGCACGATCAGGTCCACGTCCGTCTCCAACCCGACGAGCAGCATAAAGATGATGAGACCGATGTTGGATGTGAGGGTCAGCATGCCCGACGATGCCGACGACATGATCGTGTCGGTGAAGCGCGGAATGTCTTTTTGCATCAAGAGGGAGATGGTGGCAAAGGGATGAGCGAGGCGAGGCGCAAGCGAGCAATTGGGCGCAGACTTGACTGCATCCACGCAACCCCCACTCACTTCCAAGCACCGTAGGACCCAAGCAGACTCCTGCCAGCAGTTCACCCACCACCTTTGGCTGGCCAACAAATTGAAATGCATATCCCAACAAGGTGCACAAGGCGATGATGAGCATCGTCTGGGCCAAGAAGAGGGCGAATGTGGCGTTGGTGGAAGCGAGTTGGAGGGATTGCAGCTTTGGGCCCACCAAGGTAGAATCTGGGGAAGAAGTGGAGTGAAAGATGCCATAGTGAAGGACGGGAAAGATGAGGTTTGAAGTGTTGAATGTGCTGCCAGGGAGGACGGGGAATGCGGTGAGGTAGTCGTCAAGCATCGTGAAGGGCCGTCAAGGGGGAATGAGATGCAGGTCGTGATTGTATTGGTAGCGGTGATGGGGGAGAGCGTGTGCGTGTGCGCGGGCGCGGGCGTGAGCGTGTGTGTGTGCGTGTGCGTGTGCATGTGCGTGTGCGTGTGCAATGCTGCCTCTGAAGAAGGTTGGGAGCGTTGAGGAAGGGCAAGTGTATGCGCTCAAAGCAAGCGGAGCGGGACCCAGGCGATGCCTGTCAGCGCGGCCATTCTCCAGCCAGCGATGGTGATGCAGACAGATCTCCTGGCTGGTGCGTACCACTCAGATTGCGCTCCTTGGTGCGTCGTCAGTTGCGATGGAGTGCGGTGCTCTCCTTGCAACGGATCACTTGACACTTGGACCTTTGGCAGGCGCTTTGTTGTATCGCCCAGAGAGCCATGCAGGCGTTGCGGCATGTAAAGCAAGCGCCTTGTGACCAATGACCACCCAAATACGCGCTTGGCAGCGACAGAGCTTGTGACAGGATGGTGGGGCGATAGATAGCGACGAGCAACGAGTCAAGAGTCACGAGTCACGAGCAACGAGCAACGAGTCACAAGTCACGAGTCAGCGCGAACAGCGTCAACGAACGACCCGCTCGCTCTCTCGTGTCTCTCGTTGGCAGGTTGGCACGTGTTGCACGCGCTGGCTGGTGTAGAAGCGCGGGGCATGAGCGAGCGATGAGAGCTCAGGTGGCTGGCTGCATGGCTGCCATGGCTGCATGGCGCAATTAAAAGATGCAACAGGAGTTTAAATTAAACGGCTGTGCTGTGTCGGCGTCTACTGTACAGTCAGTAGCTGCATGCATGGTCCAGCATCCCTCCTCCTTCTCCTTCCAGCGGATGGCCCCACACAGCAACCAAGAAGCGGGCCCCTGAAGCATTCTGCTCATCGATCGTTTGCCTGCATGCATTACCGCGAACCGCAAGGGCGCAAGTTGAAGAACTAGGTACTCGCTCCTCTTATATATAGACAAGCAATCAAGTCGAGCGGCGCAGTCTTGAGTACTACTGTATATGGGGCGGGGCGTACCGCAAGCAATCACCAAATCACGGATTCACCCCGCGCGCGCACCTCAAAGATCATCTTAATTGATTAGCGCCTTTTGCCGGCGGTAAGGCGCAGCTCTCTGCATATATATGTCAGCAAGCGAGCGTGCAGCTTATTGCGGCGTGCGGCGTGCGGCGTGGAGTGACCATGCTGCAGGCAGCAGCCCAAGCAAAGTGTGAATTGAATCACCTATCCCTATGCATGCATGCATGTACACACAACCCGACACTCTTGCAGAGAGAAGAACGTTCTCGACGTTTGGTTAATCTTTTCAGCACAAGGCGTCCGCATCTGCGTGCCGCCTGCCTGCCTGCATGCCTTGGCCACGCTTGCTCGACCGCGCCCTCGACGCCACCGACGACATCGGCAGCAGCAGCAGCAGCACGCACCTGGATACACGCATCAGCAGCAGCGCCAAGCAGACTGTGACTAGCTAAGAGGGAGAGACGTGCATACAAGCACAGTACATGCCATGCAGCTTGGGTTGAATGGAGTTGGGCGTGAATGCGAATTTGAATGTGAGTGAGTGAAGTGCACGCTGCTGATCCTCACCCATCCCACTTCATCCTCCACCATATCCGCCCGCTATCCACCCTCCACCATCCACCCCTCCCTCACCGCCACTCCAACGGCCTCGCTCAGGCAAGCTGCAAGCATGCCATCTCCCTCGTCGCCGTCGCCGCCGCTGATGGACCAAGAATTCCAGTCCATCTCAGCCGCTCCATCAACCTCATCCACCCTTCTCTCCCCCGCACCTCGTCCCCTCTCTCGACGACGAGCCTCTCAACCAGTCTATCCCATCTCTCGTCCTCTCACACCCCTCTCCATCGCTTCTGCAAGGCTCAATCCGGACAGTAGATTGGAAAGGTATGCTGCTGCTACTGCTGCTACCGGTCCTGCGCCTGGCTACTGCGAGTCCGATGGCGATGGCTGCACAGCAAGCGGAAGCACATCTCACTCTGGCTCCGAGGATGAGGACGATTTGAATTGGAGCAGACGCAAAGGTGCGACGGACAGCTTCGAATATGTGAGTGTATGCGGGGTGCTAGTGTCGAATCAAGCTGCATTGGCTGCATATCCATGCCCTCTTCTTCTTCTCTGCCCCACTGCCTCCAGCTCGACCTTTCGCTATCGGTACCTTACACCCTCGTCACCATGAGAGCATCGCTCTTGCACCAACTATCAGACATCGAGTCGCGCGTCCGCTTGCTCGTCTCTTCCTGGTCACCGCGAGATCTGGATGTGTCGGCAAGCGCAGCAGCAGCCAAGACGTTGGCCACGTTTCATGCTCAAGCAGCAGCCATTCGAGCAGACGCAAAGAGGTTGACATGGATGCTACCTCGCGTACCTGTACCTGCTGCTCTCAACGCTGCTGCTCCTCTACCTCGACTCGCTGCCAAAGGTCAAGATTTCTTGTCAGAGTGGGACACGCCCACTCTTCCCAAAATCCCTCTGCCATCCTTACCGCTGCCGGCTTTGCCTGCTTGGCCCGCTGCTGTTCCGCATTTCACATCCGTAGCCGCCGCTCAATTACCTGCCAACGGAGCTTCGATCTTGGCAGCTTTGCAAGATCGACTGGAAGCGATGCAGAGCGCCTATGCCGCCCTGACTCTTCGAGACCTGTTCAGCAGCGCCTCTGAGTCATCCCGGGATGCTTCAAGCGCCGCATCCCATGCGATCAACAAGATCTCTGCAGACTCGACAGATGCGACGCATGCTGCTGCTTCGGCTGCGGCGCACAGCCAGTTGGATATCTTGTTGGCTAGATTGAGAGCGACGGGAGAAGAGGTCAGGGCTAGAGGCCATGCGAGGGCTAGCTCAGTCGCTAAGAAAGCCAGAGAGATGGAGGATGCTGTTTATCACGCTGCGCTCGAACTTGCGGGTCAAGGTCAGCGATTGATCAGGTATGAGAACCTGCCAGAATTGTGGAGGAACAATGAGCACATCGTGAGTGCAGAGCGAGCATTGCGGCTGATGGTCGGCTGATGGCGGCTGCGCAAGCTGAGCACACACCCGCTGGCGCACATCCGCACCAACAGCTCTCTGGCTATCGCTTCATTCCTTCTCAAAACTTTGGCGCTCTCTTGCGCTCGACTTTCGAGATTCACAATGAGACGGGCAACATTCACTCTCACCTGCTCGGAGCAGTCATCATCATTCCCCTCTTTTGGCCCTCTAAAGGATTGGATGCGGATACGACGCCGATGGACCGACTGGTGCAGACATTGTACCTTGCAGCCGCGCTCAAATGCCTCGTGCTCTCCGTATCGTGGCACGTGATGGCCGGTTGTGCCAATGCTTGCTGGTTCGAGCGATTTGCCTGTGTGGACTATACGGGCATCGCTTGGCTCGTAGCAGCGAGCGTATGGACATTGGTGTACAATGGCTTTTACTGCCAACCCAACTTGGCCATGTTTTACTCTCTCACCACGCTCATCGTGGGAGCTGTGGGAGCAACGGTGCCTTGGGCAGCATGGTTCAACGAGCGAAGCAACAAGGGCTTGCGAATCGCAGTCTTTTTGACCATGTGCTTCACTGCCCTCGCCCCTTTTACGCACGCAGCATTTGAGCACGGTCTGATCAAGACGCTGCGATTCTTTGCTCCCATCGCTCCAAGTCTGCTATGCTACGTAGGCGGACTGATCTTCTACGCCTTTCAATTTCCAGAAAGCTATGCGCCCGGCCGCTTCGATATTTGGGGACACGCGCATCAGATCTGGCACGTGGCCATCGTAGGCGCCATCTTGCTGCACTATCGAGCCGCGCTGATCTTTCATGCCAACAGGTTCGACTTTAGCTGCACGGCCCATCCCTCTTCGGAACTCTTTTCGGACAAGGCGACGACGACGACGACGACGCTGAGCCTTGCGGGTGCCAGGTTGCTGCAGAAGGCCGGCGGTCTGCAGGGAATAGATGGACTGAACTTGGCGGATGATAGAGTGCACCAGTGGAGGAGGGTGCTGGGCGCTTTGGGCGGTGGAATGGTCGGTAAGGTTTGGGATGGCTTTGTAGATTGGACACAGACTTGGTAGTCCGGGGGGGCACGGCACAAGGGAGCTCCTCTCCTCTCCTCTCCTCTCCCGCTCTCTTCGCTCCTGCGATCGGTTTGCTCGCCTCGCCCCGCCTCTGCGCACCACCTTTGCTGCAGCAACTTTTTTCCCCAACTCTGGTGTCTCACGTGGCACGCACGCATCGATAGATCTTTTCGAACACCTCGCACATCTTGGACATTCAATCATTCATACTTGGGCTCATTCGGCCCGCATCTCCCACGCATTGCAGCTCCAATCTCTCACCCACCGGCTTCCGGTCGCGCAGACGAGACGGATTTTGATCGCTGCTGTTCACCTTGACTGGGCGATACCGAAAAGTTGGACTGTTTGTACGAGCATTCGATTCGGGTTTTGACCCCCAAGGTTTTGTGTTCGCAAAGCAGAGCAGAGCAGATGCTCTCTGTTTTTTTTTTGTGCTTCTTCACTGCTCTTGAGCTTGCAAGCGCGTTGCAAGCGCGGACATGACAACAAAAGGCTTCACGTACGCTTGCCTTTCCTTTTTGCCTCGCCCCCCGCCCCCTCGCGCACCAAAGGGAGCGTATGATTCAATGCGCATCTTTTTTTGCGTCAGCTGCCCTTTTTCGTAGGGCTCTTTGACTCTGCTTCATCACCGTCAACGTCATCCTCCGACTCGCTCCGAGCTGGTCTCTTGATCCCCTTGACGCTCTCCTCTGCAGAATGCGTCGTGGTGGTGCTAAAGGTGTGCTTTGCCGAAGAAGGAGAAGAAGAAGAAGAAGAAGAAGAAGAAGAAGAGGCAGGTGCACTGGATGCTACATTTGGATTTCCCAAAGAGTGGTGGTGCTCAAGTGCCCTTGCACCTTGCACGCTCGACTTCGACTTGGAATTGTCGTTGCTTAAAGATGCTGAAGCTGAAGCTGCTGCGGGCGGATCTCGTGCTTGTGCTTGAGCGTGTGTCGGTCCCAATAGGGATTTTTGCCAAGCGAGTCTGCTCCGCTCCAATTCCAACTTTGCCTTTTCTCGAGCAGATTCGTTCATCCGACCAACATTCCTCCAAAGCCTTTCTCGCGCTTCGCGTCCAGTCAAGCGCTTTGGACTTTTCGAAGCGCCCGAGAATGCTGCTCCAAGACTGGGAGACACCGTCAAGGCTGTCGCCTTACTGCGAAGTGTGACGGGTCTCTGAGCCCCATCAGCGTGAGGATCACGTCAAGA